ATATTTTGGTCAAAATTTTATGATATCTTCAAACATATATTTTATTCAAAAATAAAAACATCATCGCTTTCTCAAAATCACATAAAGCCATATTATTACATCGACTGAGATAAAGAATAAAATGAAATATTAAAATCACGATGTATCTCGCTGCATTGCGCGAGTACCCTTCTAGTAACACTAAAAGAATAGAGGTCATTTTGTTCGTCTCTATATTTTAAGTACTATTGTTATATTAATTTTTTATAATTATTTATACTGTATTATAAAAAATATGAGTTAAAACTCTTAAAAATTATCTTTTGATGTATTAAATATTGTTTAGTGATGTATGTTACTTAAAATTGAAGATAACAAATAGGTGTGGTGCATGAATATAACTTTTTAAAGTTATATGTTTTAATTCATATAACTAACTGATAAATATAACTAAACACATAATAAATATCTTATTTTAAATATATTTAACATAATCATTGAATTCTAAAATAAGACTTAGTTATTATCTTTATGATTTGAACCTAAAATGAACTACTTAGACATTTACAAAAACATTATCGTTTTCAATCGATAGAGGCAAATAATAAAAGAAATACTAAAATTGAAATATATCTAGCTGCATTGTGCGACTACACTTGTAATTATACATATTGATATTTAATAGTGTTTGGTTATAAGTATTAAATAGTAATCAATGAGAATGAAAATAAAAGAAACTATTTAATATTATATAATATAGTGGGCTCGTTCCCTCAGAAACTCAAACTTGAATTCAGATTAAACTAGGAAAAATAAAAATTCATTTTAATTTTCATTTTCATTTTCATTTTCATTTTCATTTTGATTTTCATTCTATTTTCATTTTATTTGTTATATTGTAATGATATGGATTTGTAATAGCCTCCCATCTTGGAGAATATAAAAAAAAATTCTCTGTTTCTAAATTAATTAATTTTGAAGAGTTATCCAAATTTACAGATTTTTATCTTCTTTTTCGTACTTTATTCATTTGTAGATTGATTGAAACAAAAATCCTTAATATCTTCATTTTAGATAATATGTTGGAAATGCTCTAATAATAATAATATTATTAAAACTAGAATGATACTTGTACAACATAGTTAGATGCATCTCGATTTTAATATTTCGTTTTATTTTTTGTCTTTATCATCATAAAATTCAATAAACCACATGGACCAAATCCATAATTTACTCATTAAAATATTGTTTATTTTCCTTTTAAATAGATTTTCAAATTCTCATTGTTTTATCTATACTATCTTATTAAGCAAATTTGACAAAAGTCTTAAAATCTTAAAATTCTAAATGACCAAAATATCCTTTATATTTACTTTTTCACTTTTTCACCCCCTCCTCTACTCACATACACTCACCTCCTCACATGCATTCACCCTCTCACAACCGATTTTTTTAAAATTATAATTTTAAATTTATACTTTAAATGTTTCATTTTAAACATTTTAAATGTTTCATTTTAATTAATTTACTTTACGCCCTTTACTTTTATATGTTTCATTTTAAACTTTTATTAAATTAACATACATAATCGTATATCAATTAAAACATGTTTAAAAAATACATTTTTATTTTAACAAGTTACACTATTATAATCGTCTCGTTAATACTTTCGAAATGAGTCCAATATTGAATAGTTTTTGACTTAATTATATTATTATATATTATATATATTG